GAGAGAGAGAGAGAGAGAGAGAGAGAGAGAGAGAGAGAGAGAGAGAGAGAGTGTGTGTGTGTGTCTGCCTCTCTTTCTCGATCTCTCTGTGTGCGCGTATGCTACATCTTACTTGAAACAGGAATAAGTTATCCTTCCACCCACCTCAACGGTATGTCTAGTTGACCATAACCTTAGGCAAAAGTTATTATTCAGGCTTTGGAACCTGTCACGCCTTTGAAAAACGGTAAGCGTAAATTTCGACTTCCTGTTATCAAAATTAGTTCATCGCATGACGTCAAAGCGACTCGAATATTTGGCTCCTGGAAGCGTGGAGACCCCGAATATAAGTTGCTGGTACAGAAAGTTCCAAATGGAGAGGCCAAGGTTACTTTTACCTCAGAATCCTCTTTACACGTTTCAGGGTTTGTCTTCGTGATGCAGCCGATGTATTGTAAGTCACTCTGACCAACGGTGGCCCGTGTTTCTTTAGGTGTTTTTTTTTCCTTTTCTTTAAATTCTGGTGTTCGTACGTCCCCCCATCGACGCAATTTGGACTATTTAAGAGGCGGGCTTCCGACCCTGCCTGTAAGGGCCGATCCAGGCAGAGAGGGATACAACATATCCCAGCTGAAAAATCGAGATACATACTCAATAAAAATTCTCTCCCCACTCAGTAATCGAACTTGGGTCTCTTGAGTGCGACAGCGAAGTGCCTAACTGCTACATCACAGACGTTTTATTTGAATACATACCAACACCACAACGACTGAAGTCTCATCATCGCGCTCATAATATGACCTTGTGCAGTTGCGAGTGCCGTAAAATAGGTGTTTGATAGGAAAGAAGGCACAAACCACACCACCGTACCAGCCAGCCACCCACTAAATAGACGAATGTGGATGCCAGTGAGCTGTTGCGAAAAGAAAGTCAACAGTGAGACTAAAAATGAACGAAGCCTTTTTGGTGCCACTTTATGACGCCCACAGATGAAAATAATTGAGAGGAAGCAGAGGAGGACACAAGGGAAGAGGAGGCATAAAGAAGAAGATGAAGAGGAATATGGGAAGTCCTTTGGAAACAAAAAACAGCAGAAGTGAAGAAAATATATTCAACAAAAAAATACGGAAGTAGACGTTTATACGGCAGACCGTCAGAAAACTGGAAGTGCCGATTCCACGGCACATAATTTCAGCCAGTCAGAACATCCGGAGTATGATTCACTTTTCCAGAACACATTTAAGATACATTTTAAGATAAATGTATGTTTAGTTAACAATGTTTATCGTTTGCTTCCATTTTGTGCATTACGGACAATGATGAAATGTTTTGTGCAATTGTAACTTGTAACACGATTGAGAGATGCACACTTCTGTGCAAGCAAAATGAAGAGAAGACTGTTTTTGCCAACAGTGTTGTGCTTACGGGGTGCCCATTGCGGATGGGATCGGGATGATCGCCCGACTTGTACCCTGAAAACAAATCGTTTTTGAGGCGACAAGTTGGGCGCTTTGGCTTGTACCAAGATAGTCAGTTTGCGCTGTCTATATATGGCTAATGCCGTCTTGAGTCTAAGGATCGGAATTGATATTTTGACGGCATTCCGTCTAAATACAGACATGTATGGGCCTTTGAAGTGTCTCAATGCAAGGCATTTAATCCAAGGACGTGTAATGGAAGTACCCGACCCGACCGTATTCCCCAAAGGGGTACAATCATTGTTTCGTCTGAATGCATGTAAATCACATTATTTTATAACTTATTTTCGTTTACAATACATTTTTTGAGTGTAGAAGATGAGTAAAGTACATGCATTGTAGATCTAATTTCATATACCGGCACAAGCACCGGATACTTCCATTACACGTCCTTGGATTAAATGCCTTGCATTGAGACACTTCAAAGGCCCATACATGTCTGTATTTAGACGGAATGCCGTCAAAATATCAATTCCGATCCTTAGACTCTAGACGCCATACCGTATGTTCAGACAGCATGCTGTCGAAATATCAACAACGATCTTCAGGTATCACCTCTGATGTTCAGACGGCATGCCGTCAAAATATCGCTACCCGAAAAAAAAAGTGTAAATACAAACTCATGACAAAATAACATGTTAATTCCTTGGCACAAAGTTGACCATATCAGACGTCCACTAGCCACCCAGGACGAAGAATGCCCAAGAACAAACAGACAAGGACAGTGAGGAGAAAGAGGAAAAGACAAGAAGTAATTAAAACAAAATAACAGTGAAACTGTAGACAAATGAAACACCACAGGAACACAATCATAAACACCAGTGTTACTTATTTAGCCTCCACATTTTATTGCGTAGTAACAAACGAGTGAAAATCAATTTAGAGTGACCAACTGATTAGTGACGCTGAATACCAGGAAAGCGAGTATTTTAAGAAAAACAGAACAGCTCCAGCTTCCTTTATAAATCATATTGTGTTCAAAGATTCATTTGTAAATATTTGTGAATGAACATTTTATTCCAGAAATCATTGCATTACCAATATGAATGAAAAGCAATACTCCTCAGAGATAAAAAAGCATGCTCACACCTAAGTGCAACGCTTAACTAATGAGGGACTTTTCCTACTTTCGTCAATTAAGCATGGTATAATCTAGTATAAACATCTGAATCAACGCAGTTTCAGAAAAAGAGCCACATATCTGTGAGGTGAATAAAGATCAAGTAAATGTGGCACTCCACCAGTGCTGGTACATGTACTGATAGGCCACCAACATCTGCACTAAGTCATTTTTTTTTCATATTACTAAATAAATAAAAAATTTCTTTGTAAAAGTTTGCTTATCCTTCACTGGCCAACAGCTGGGAATAAATATAGCCTGCCTTACAGGAGACCTTCTATAAAAATTCAACAAATATAGGTGAGAGAGTAGATAGATACAACGCAATAAAGAAGTTCCAGACTTGCCAACTTTTTCAAAACCCAATCACGGTCACCTGATGTTATAACATCACATTATGTAACAATGAACATAACTACATCAAATGGGACTGGTTTTGGTGTAGTGTAGGTGATAACGTTCTCAAAATTCTCAGCTGCTATAACCAGGTAATTCTGGACAGTTGACATGCATAAAGTTCTCGGACCAATCACATTTAAGATAGTCATTTTTTATTACGCTTCCTTCGTCTGATTTTCTTTCAAATATTTTTTTACCCTATTTTAAGTTTTGATCTTACAATAAAAACGTAGTGTTTTTCAAGGTCCCAGGATACCCATCCTGAAAAAGAGCACATACATAATATCATATGCCTTTGTTGCAAACTGATTAAATAAGCATGCTGACAGTACTCAAAATTTAGAGAAAACTCAAAAGACACAATCATATGGATAACGAAAATGCACTGTACAACTGACAATGCAAAAATGCAAGAAGGAGGTAGGACCTAGCAGCACCTGTCAAACAGACTACGGTGCAGCAGGGCAACTGCCAAATCACAACCTGATCACAGACTTTGATGTGAGTAATGATAACAGAAAAAAATAACCACAGAAATATGATTTCCATGGGAAACAACTAGGCACATACAGATTTTTTAACAACATTGACATACCAGTTATATTGTGTATAACAAAAATTAAAGCCACAAAAAGATTAAAAATCGATAAGATATATATAGAACCATTTCACAAAAGCTAGCACACTAAGAGCAATAAAAATTCCTAGTTCAGCAAAATAACAGCAAAGAAACCAGCATACCACATACTGTGAATGCCCTTGTGCCAAGCCACTTTAAGGCAAATGTTTGAAATGAACAAAGAAACGGGTCTTTTTCTTTTCTCCAAAACAAGTCACATTGACCAGAATTATCCTTGACAACTTTTTACAATACAGTAGGCCCACTTTATTGAGAATTTTTACTGAATTAATCAAGGTTGAAGTAGGATTTGTCTGATGTTTACCTGCTTTTCTTAAGCTAATGCATCTCAGAGAGATAGGAATCATTTAAGATTTATACAGAAACACAAAATATTTGTACTGACAAACCAATAGAGGAGAATATCCTTAGTCTAGTAACATTAACATCTTTATATCCTTAACACAAATCAATACGTTCAGTTATATAATTAATTACTATTACAAAGAGGTAGGTACACACATTGTGATACATTTAAAGAAAAATGTGTGTGTGCCTGAGAAAAGGGTCCATAATAAAGTTGGCAATTTTCAAAACTGAAGATAATGAAGTTTTAATTGGGTTTTTCAACTTCTAAATCAGCTGATTCTTTAATTTTTCAGATATCTTCAACACTTATTAAGGAGAATTGCAGGCAGGTTTTGTAAGACAAGGTACCGTACAAAAAAGAAATTTTTGAAAAAAATAGCTTAACAAGTAAATGACTTATTTTTCACAAAAATAACCAAATCTGCCATTCTCCCCTTAATCATTTTCATTAATAGATATTAAATATATTAAACTTCAGTAAAAAAAAGTGTCAATACACGTAGAGTGGAGCATTAAAGTTGTGTAAAAATTTGTAAAAACACAAAACCAACTGATGTGAATATGTGAGAAATTAGGTCTCTGTACCAGTGTTCATGTACACTACAATTCACTGTGATGGGGAGATACCGTTTACACAACATGCTAGGGTTTGGGCAGAGAAAAAGCTTATTAGATTGTGTCCATTGGCGACTTAAAAACAGGTCTGAGATACTCTTTAAATTTAAACACTTTAATTTTCATACAACTTACAAATAAAAATTGAGCTAAAGCCTTTTGGAAGAGGATTTAGGAAAAGTCGGAACTTTAATTTTCTGTTAGAACTACATTTCGACCTGTGACCAGGTACATCTTCGTACGCCTTTAGCTCAAAACTGACTTTGCCAACATATGGTCCCTTTCCTCAAGCACAGACGCAAATAACGAATTAATTGTCTTCTTGAGATAAAAGAGAGCCACACACTAATCTCAGTGTGTTTTTTTTTTCTCAAGACAACACCTTCCTATTCAAAGCCTAAGCCAGGAATTCTCCTTGATTTAAACTTAACCGTAACATTTTTTTTCTCACTAGGCTGAAGTAACATTGAAAAGGATTTTTATGAGGAGCTGAGCAGTTTCCATTTCTATCATATGAAAACTGCTGCAGAACTACCCATCTATAATTCTGGCGATCATAAGACAAAGAAAAATGGCAAGGGAATGTGAAATATATGATATACAATAAATGTGCAGAAGAACAGGTATAGATACATGATATATATATATTTACTAAAATATCCGATTTGATTTGAGTTGCATAGAAGATTAACACACAGCTGGTGAAACAGCTCAGTGAAAGATACAGAAAAAAGAGACCAGAGACAAAGATAAAGAGCAGTTTGTAGTCATATAATTCCTTTACCTACAGTCGAGCATAGGTAGCCTGAATTTCTCTTGCTTCAACACTGAACAACAGGCACTCACTATCCATCCTTCAGTCCTTTAGTGATTTTTCATCAATATCTCTTATTTTTTTGTGTTATCACTATCATGGTTTTGTTGAATTATGGATGTGTCAAACACATTTGTCAACCCCTGGCATGTTTGAGATATCCCTGCTCGACAGTAATTCTGTATATTGATAAAGGTGCTTTTGGATTTGGAGTAAAGCAAGTGCAGTAGACAGGAAAGAAAATACGTTATGAAATATTCATGCCATACAGTATGTGCAACAGTAAAACACATAAAAATCAACAATTAATTCAGCAGTACCAGTAAAAGACAGAACACAGTAAGGTATGGGACAATATAGATTTTAAACAAATATTTGAGACACACAAAAGGCAAAAATGAAGAAGGCGTAAGTTTTCTATAAACACTGACTACCACAAAAGAATAAATGCTACAGTTCACAAAAATGCAGTGAATGAAGTCTTCTTTTTGCCCCTGCTCAGTGGGGCAGATTTGTTTGTTAGTGTGTGGGTGTGAGTGTGTGGGTATCTGTGTGTGTGTGTTGTGTGTGTGTGTGTGAGTTCATGCCTGCCTGTGTCAGTGTGGATGTATACTATAAAAATTGTTCTATTCTGAATAAAAATCAGGCCGATGGGCTAGAACTCAGAAGGATAGGAAAAGTAAAGTAAGTCTAGAACAGAACCATTTTTATATTTTAGGCACTCAAGTGTTATATTCACCAATTCCCTGAAAATTATAAACAGTCACAAAAATCCTCCAGTTTGGTTGGGAACTAATTTTGCATTCAGCACAGAGAAGCCAGAATTGGTTGGGCTAATCTTCATCAAATTTCAACTACTTAGGTATCTTTAAAATATAAGCAATATGCTCACAAGACCAGTATTTTTCACCTTTTTTGAGGAGGAAAAGATTTCCTGGAAAAAAAAAAAAATCCAATTGTCCAAGTAAAGCAGAAGTACTGTGAAGCATCAAGGCACAAGTAATCTATTTACACTTTACTACAACTGAACACATCAGGTGCTCAAAATCAGTTTGAATTCTAAAGACTCAAAATACACCTATGCAAAAGTAATTCTTACCATTTATAGTACATTCAATATATCTGTGAGCATCATATGGCACTGACATTTTTCACAGCATTCTCACAAAACACAAAACTGAGTAGTTGTACTAATGCAAGAGATCACTGTAATATAAGCAAATAGTATCAAACCATTGAAATCAGAAAACATGTAACTGAATATATTAGCAGTCCTTTCACACGATGTCAGCATCCTTCCAAAGTAGACAAGTATATAATCTGGAATGTAATCTCATGCAACTACCGACCCGCAGCCCATAAGCCTTTTCCCGCTCCACAACACATACAGTACACAAATGACAAAAAGCAACAGGTTGAAATTAAACATCCTGCTTCCAATCTTCTACAATTCCGAAAAATATGAATTCGAGGGACGGTTCCTCTCCTCCTATAAATTCAGAACTGAGACTCAAACCAACAGCCCTAATTACCACAACATATGACATATTGCACTCACCACTCTCGTTTATGAACCTAGCACCATGCCTTTCCACATAGTTTCAAAGCAATTAGAGGTGCTTTGATATAAGGCTATTTTTTTGGAAGTTAAAAGCTTTGACTTTTTGGCTGTTACAACAACCGCCAAAGAGCAGTGAAAGATTTTTTTACCTCTGATCACAGGTTTCATTTGGAAATAAAAAATGTGTTGCAATGTGGTGGAATCAGACGCTCGTCAATTTTGAGGGAATGTGGAGTTACTGGTATCATCTTAAACATAAAGCTTGTCCATTTGTCTTGCTTACGATGAAGGAAAACCCATCTATCTCTATATATGTCAAGGTATTAATGACTGAAGGAGGTGGGGGTCGCCTGGTGTCAGAGGTAAAATTAGCAACAAAATGGGCAACAAAGATTGATTGTTTCCATAGCTTGAGAGTCATGGAAACTGAAAATTTATATTTTTTTAGCCTTTATTCAACATTTTTCAGTAAAGTCCACCCAGAGATGTGTTCTTAAATTATGGACATAAAAGGTATCAAGCCAAAAAAACAAATTCGATAAAAATTGTCAAACCAGCAGAAAAATGCTGATTTGTTCAATTTCATTATTTTCACGAGCGCCTGTTTCATCGTGCTGCCTCACAAATGAATCATTTCAGTCTGTAGTAATAGCCAGGGACCTAAGCTCTGCAAGACCTTGCTGGACTTGCGACTTGTAATCATGCTTTGAGTGCTCACGATGCCCATTCATAGTGTTCGACAGCTCTCCATAGACTTTCACAGCTTCCGTTGTGTACTGAACCTAAACAAAAAGCAATATACTTCATAAATTAATTTTTTGCTTTAAAAGTATATTTTCATATCATTCTTACACACGCCCACACACAGACACACACATACACACAGGGTCTGAAAGTTCAATGACATATAATATTATGGTTTATGAATATAACAAGAATGAATTATAAAGTAATCCTATTATCTCTTTGTTATAGTTTCAGGTGTATGATCTTCAGGGCACCAGGTTGCAAATGTAAAAAAAAAGGAAAAAAGAAAGCCTAAATAACATAGCCAAGTAAATGTTCATTGAGGTCCTATGTGCTATTCTACCGTTTAAGGGGTTGCCTCCCAGCCCATTTCAAAGGGTGAGGTTAGAGAGAAAGGGGGAAATGCTTCACAAGCAAGCTGTTTCTGTGGTACTCTCTACAGCTTTTTTTTCCTTTCAAAGAACTAAACTGAACAGCAAATACCTAACCTCATAAACCTTGACATTTTCAAAATTTCACCTGTTGTTAAGCTAAAACAGGAGGTGAATTCCCCTTCCCATGGTAACCACGGTTTAAAAAACCCAAAGAACAGACAAACTTAATACAGAAGCAAAGTTGTCTTTACTATTTTTACCCATCGCAGATGCTGATGTGAAAGGAGTCCAAAGTATAGCAAATTTTACCTGAGACTTAATGAGAGCTTCAAGAGAAGGTTGGAAGTAGTCTGCCCGGTTTTCAATCATTTTCGGAATGTCTTCACACACACTGTTGTTCTGACTGGTGAAGTCTGCTTGGGCACTTGTCAAAGCTTTCTTACTCTGAAACAATATAGACAATCAAGAAAAAAACTAAGTCAGTGCACGCCATAATCAGAAAACTTTTGGGTCTTCAAAACAAAAGCATAATGTGATCTGATTATAAAATCATTTTTAAAGAGGAGGTCTTGCCTCTTTTCTCACGGGACAACTTCCAATGAGCACAATAAAAAAACTCTCATTCTAATTATCAGTTGTGTAACCAAACTGCTAATCAGTAGTCCATAAGTTTCATGCACCCTAAAAATTTCATTCTGTTAAAATTAAAATGACTATGGTAACCTTCGATGTTACAGAGTGCATATGTTTCTGTGGGGCTGCACAAAAATATCTTAACTGGGTGAACATTTTACAAGTCTCTTGAATTTCTGACTTCCCTTCCTCTCTATTCTCTGTTGTTTTAACAGTCCAATTCCTATGAAGATAAAATAAAAGGCCACCAAGCCTGATATTTGTCTCTCTATTCAGTCTTTTTTTTTAGATAGTAGAGTAGACCACTGCAGGGAAAGAAGGCAAAAGTTATAAACAATAACAGTCATATACTAACAAAGCTAACTCCATTTTTTTGGGGGGGGGGGCTAAAGGCTAAAGGCTAAAGGCTCAGAAACCGAATTACGTTTTAAAAATTCTGATAAAACTAAAATACCAGTGTGCAATTTAAACCATCTGTAGTTGTGCAGCTTACAGTGTAAGTATAATGATTTACTTTTGTTATTCTGTGCCTTGTTCACTTAATCACAGATCACAGAACTTGAGCCAATGTTCCATTAGCCACAGTCGCATGTTACAAAAACCCCAAAAATACTCAACGCCCCGGAAGCACGACAGAGGAGCGCATAAAATCTCATTGCATCATAGCCATGGATCTAAAAAGTGGCAGCATTCATTTACTTTACAAATGCAGCTAATTCCAAATTATTTTTTACATGACGAGCAAGCCAAAATGCTGCTGTGACGTAGGGCGTTCATCATGCCTTGCCTAGGGCAAGGACCAAAATGACAAACATCGTTCAAGGTAGGTTGTATTCTGCCTACTGCTTCTATTAGATGCAAATCGTACAACAAATCGCAGAATGAAAGTAAAACCCAGAGTCATAAAGCTAAAATAGCATTCAGAAGACGACACTAACTTCCTTGAAAAGAAAGACAAAAATAAGAATTGGCTTCCAGCACTCCAAATATATCCTCCTTATACAATATTCAAAAGGGTATTGTGGGTCGGTCCTCTTCAAGAGGTCATCAAGGACAATGTGTGAACAACAGTTACTGCTTAGGAGGCATGAGACACACACCAAGGAACAGACTCTAGGAGGGGCGCGACCAAAGGTGTGAAACATAACCAGTTATTGATTCCCTTCCCCTGTGAAAAGGTAATTATATCACTGTAAAAGTACAGTCTAGCCTGCCTTAGCAGTCACCTCTCCAGGGCAATCATCTGTACCAACAGTCACTGTTCTGTGACACCCTTGCATTTTTCTTATATTTTTTACTGAATAGACAGAGCCTATGTGTTGTTATATGTGGTTTACATGTGCCATTTGAGAGTTCATTTTCATACGTGTTGTAAGTGACCACAACTCAGACCATGCCCATAATATCCACTTGTCTATCTGATACTTTTTTCTGTCATCTTGAATGACAATGATGAACAGGAGAACATATTGCATTAAAGGAACAAAACTTGACTACTGAACAAAATACTATAAACGATAATAATCAGACATTTCGACTGATCAGTGTAAGACTCCATCATACGTTATTTTTCAAAATGACATATTATAGTAGTCTTACACTAAGCAGTCGATTTGGGCTCAAAGAACACAACTGATAAACATGTAACCGAACAAAAGAAATAGAAAAAACCCTGAACAAACAACAGAATTTGAGTTCTACAAGCCCTAATATTCTATATAGCTACCTACAAGTGTGATCCATGAGCATTAAGCAAGGGAACGGATAAGACAATAAAATCTTATTTGAGGTGCAATGTTACATAAGGTTACCAAAACTAAAGGTGCTCTTAACGCAAAAAAGACCTGATGTTTAAATTCTGAAAGAACTAGAATATAAGTTTATTACTGTTGCTATTGTTGTTAATCCAGTAGCCCTTGAGGTAGGGGCAGGAGAGAGAAAGAAGTTGCAGTTGGAAATCTTGCAGTATGGAACATTAGAAAAGTAAGAATAAACGGTAAACTGGCTCCTTGACATAATTAATAACAATAAAAATTAACACTTCAGTCACCTAAAGAAACATAAACAGTTTTGAAAAGGACAAATTTGAAAGACAGTTCCTAGAAATGTGGCAGACAGTGTTTAAAAAGAAGACAAAAGTAAAGACGCCACTGAACAAGTGGAAGTAAGCATCATCGAGGCTGTAGGTATGGTGCTGGAAAGAATCGCTCTTACTCTTAGTCTTAATCTTAACCCGCTGAATCCAATCTACGAGATACGGTAATAGTTGTAGCAAAGTACCCAACCACAGAATCGAGTACGAACCACTTATCCAGGTTTTTATTGAAAATAATCGGTCGCTTGGACAAGAAGTAAAAAAACAAACAGTGCCACGGCTATTTTTGTGTTTGTTAAAATACATGAACCATGTTTTTAGTTTTGTTTTAGGCATTAGCGGCAAAGAAAGTGAAAGTAGACGTAAATCTAGAAAAACAAGGCGATAGGATTGATTTTAGTACTTGAAAACTTCAAAGAAAAGCTAGATCTAGACCATAGATTTGCTATAAGTTGCTATGGGTAAATCGAGTGCCGAAGAAAATATTGTTTTCTCAGCTCTTTCCTTCCTCTTTCTCTCTAATAATACTAAAAAAAACATTCAAAGTAAAATCTAAGCCAAATTTCATATTGATACCTTAAATAGTTTGGGCACAATGCATGTCTAAGGTTAGTGTGTCGAGTTCATACAGATTTTTTGCCAGCGGATCGCGGCAAACCAGGTGGACACAAGTGCACTGACCGCGGCAACACAGGGTGAATTGGTTAAAGCAGCTGTCAGGAAGGCTCCGAATAGAGACATGCTACGATAAAAAAAACCCACCTCAGAATAAACCTACAGAGTGTCCATCCATTTGATTGACATTCTTCCTGTTTTAGACCCCACTGGCCACAAACAGGCACACTGAGGTAATGTATTTTGAGCTACAAAAACAAGCAAAAATAGTCAGAAGGGCAGAGCATATAAATATAGATGTCACAACTCTCTGACACCTTGCTCTTGTAAGCAAGAAGGAAAGCCTTGTTGTGCAGCCATTTAACTCTTTCCACCGACACAGCGCGCTCCACATGTTCACCAAAAAAGGAATTAGAATCGGAATTGAAAACATTAGATCTAGCTCATTCGTTACCCGCATTCTCATCATGGCGTAAGAGTAAAGCAGCACTCATACTAGGTCTACTCTACATTTTTCAAAAAAATTTACTCCAATGCTTATACAGTGGAGTCCACTTATAACGAGTCCTGAAACAACCAGAAGTCTGCTATAAAGACACTATTCTAAAACCCTGTTTTTTCCCTTCTTTATCTTTGTAAATAAAATACTGCTATTGCGCAATCAGTCACGCGAGTCGGTTATAGCGGATTAATGCTGCTGCTGGGTGCAGCAGACAGACCAATTAATAAACATATATAAAACCTTGCCAGTTGAGAAAGTTGTTGGTGATCCAGCGAAACAAAGAACGAGAGAGCCCTCGCGAACCAACAATGAAAGCCGCAGTGAATGAGTGGGGAGGGTGTGGCATGCGCAGACAAGCAGAACGCATCGCGTGATAGGCCAGCCCAGTCTAGATTATCCAGGCATACCGTGCCTCTCACTTCTCTGGAGTGGGATGGAGAGGTCACAATGCTGTGATAGATGGAGTGAATGTACGACGTGCGCAAGCAGACGTAACGCACCACAGGGTGTGGTGGGGTGGGGAACAACACAGCGGGCAAGTTAGCCTAGAGCCAGAGCCCCTTCTTTCTGATCGCCAAAGCCGATTTGTCAACATTGCTGGTGCTAGAGAAAGAAACCTGATTCGATTTTGATCAAGTAAGACCTTGAGATCATGTTGAAGAGAATCATCATCAGGGGAAATACAAAAAGGAATAAACAGAACACCAAAATCATAGATTAGGCCAACTTTACTATTTCCCTTGAATTTATTACTGGATCCCTAATAACGAGAATCCTGCTATAACGGACATTTCGCACGGGTCCCCTCCCTCTCGTTATAACAGGATTCCACTGTATACAAACTGATTTTCCACCTCGAAGACAGAGACCAAAAAAATTATGTAAAGACGCAGGACATACCAGAGTCACAACCCCCCTCTTCCTCCACCAAACATCTGCTGTGAGCCTTGATGATAAGTTTCCTGTCAACTATCTGTCTGTTGGATCAGGTTTTCCCCTCTCCCTCTCTGTCTGTCAATATGTCTGTTTTCCATCTGTCAGTGGCCGCACAAAGCACCTGCGACTCATGCATGAGAGCATCTAAACACTACTCCCCATGCACTGTACCTCACACTGGGCACACACCTAACACTGAAACAGAGCGACACCAGCAAACTGTTCTAGTTTTTTCCTTCCTACTGCTGCAAACTTTCAAGTCCCCACTGGCACAGCATAAATAATTAAGGTGGCTTGCTGCTTTTGTCCTAATGTCAGGGCTAACCAGGGATATTTAGGAGATATTCTAGATGAAAAATATAGATACGTACGAAAAGTGGTAAAACCATCTAATTGTCACACTGTCCTTTTTCTTGTGCACTCACCGAACTTAACTTGACGACATTCTGTCCCGTCCTGTCCCGGTCTTGGTACTTATTCACCTTGTCTTGACACTTCTGGAACTCCTGGAATTTACCATCCAAATATTTGTTGAGTTGATTTGTAGTGCACTGAACATTCCCGAGAACAGAAAAATTAAACCCATACTTATCCTCTGTCTTATTAATGGGAAAGGTGATAAACGCAAATTCAGTTGATATATATTTTAGACTAACATTCACATGCAATAATTCAAAAAGAATTTTGAAAAGTAAAAAAAAAAGTAGAGAAACATTATTTTAAAACTTAACAGAAATAGAACATTTTGACTATTCACAAAAATGTTGACTATTTAGAAAATGCTTTAACTAGCCGAGAAATTAGTGGCATTACATGATACTATCACAGAAAAAAAAAATTGATTGCAAAATGAAAAATACATTAAAATATGTGAGGAAGCATGGTGAAAACAGGCGCTCGTCAATATAATTAAAGTGAAGAAACTGGCATTTTCCGCAGGTTTGTGATCTTTTACAGAATTTTCGTTTTTTGGCTTATCACCTTTCATGCCCATTAAAGAACACATTTCTGTGTAGATTTTACTGAAAAACGATAAAAGGCACAAAATGGTAAATTTTCAGTTTCCACTGACTATGTCGAGACACATATGTGAGGCATCATGGTAAAATCGGGTGCTCGCCAAAATAGTGAAATTGAAGAAACATATTTTTCCATTAGTTTGGGAATTCTTATTGAATTTTCGTTTTTTGACTCAACACCTTTTATGTAATATGGAAACACATTTCCATGTGAATTTTACTGAAAAACAAATAAAGGCCCAAAATATGAACATTTTCAGTTTTAAAGGACTCTCAAATTATTGAAGTTACCAAACTCTGGCAGTCATTTTACCACTGGGACCAGGTGACCCCCCCCCCCCCCCTCCTTCAATTGCAAATAAAATTATTTGTATTCTAGATAGATGAGTGTTTTCTTAATTGAAAGAAAGGTAAATAAATAAGCTTTTAGATGATACTAAAATGGCCAAAAACTGACGAGCGCCTGATTCCACCGCGTCATAACATATATCTCCATGTGACTAGTGACTTTAAGAGTATGTTTGCTTGTATCTAAAAACAACTTATTCACAAACTAAATTCAAACTGACAATTCAAAACTGAAATTCTAGCTCTACTCAGTAGAAAGAAAGGAAAGAACATTTCAAACATCGAATAAAAAATAAGCCATATGCATACAAATATGTTGCATTGTGGGAGGAAGAAGAGGAGGAGGAGGAGATGATAGAGGACAAGAAGTAGTAGCACACTCAAAACTTGCCTGGAGGGCTTGATCCCTTTTCTTGACTGCTACCTGGGCATACGGAAACATGCTCACAAATCTGTAAATAGAACCAATCTTTACTGAATGATATATATCTATGGCAGACAAAAACTTCACTCAAAATGAAAATCTAAAAAACACAAGCTAGCATGATGAAAAAAAGAGAGTTTGCTATACAAATGTTGACCACTCTAATTAGTGTCACTGTTGTAAGAACAATTAGCAACACAGTTTGACCCTGTTTTACAAGAGGTTCAGTACAAAACATTGGATTTTCACATTTTTTGGTGACAGTAACAATATGGACAAGTTGAATCTTATTTATTTTACAATTCTGAGGACCCCAACCTTTACATTACTTTTTGGAAGAAATCATACTCTTAAGACCTCAAAGTTGAAACGAAGGTAGCACTTGATTTTTTTAAGTACACAATGGAGCCAGATATTCATGATTTTGAAAAAGCATTTATAAAATTGTAGCTTTCAATTGCTGCTGTATATTGTTATAACACACTTCATCAGAATTTTAGAAATGTGAGCACCGCACTTAGGTATAGGTTCAAGCTTCAAGCTGAATGGATGAAAGGAAACAGGAACCCCCAAAGCAGCTGAAAGGGTGGGGTTGTGGCTATGAGTGGTTACTCTAAGGTATCGAATAAGCGTCCTCCCCCCGCGAATTTACTTTTGGCGCACCCCCTCCTCTCCCCTCCCTTATTCCAAACCCTCCGTTTATTATTTTCCAGCAAGCCACGACTGAGGATTATCTGAAACATAATATATAAAATCTAGATATCTGAATGAAACTTTATGTTTTTGTGTGTAAATGGCAAATTACCCTCAGTATTAGTACTGGTATCGGGTTGGCCACCTCAATTCTCTATGCATTTAAAAAACTTTTTTACATTGGTTTATATATTTTTTTAATGAAACTGGTTTGTTCCTAAATGGGAAAAGTTGTCACAGTAACTTACTTATATTTCATGATTTCTTGTTCTTTTATTCACTGAAGGAGAAATAAAACAGGTCTGTTCCTACTAGTACAGGTCATGAAGTTGAATATGCCACGCCAACCCCCCCCCCTCCCGCTTATTAAATTTGGACCACTTGTCCACACCCCCCGTCTACCCCCCCCCCCCCCACCCCCGTTTATTCGATACCTTAGAGTAGTATGCTCAGTTTCACAATAATGTCCACGCGTTCTGTTGTTGCTAGGACATTGAACATCTGTTTCTTGTTGACGCTGAATGTCCTGGCAACAGTAGAAATGCGCAGAGTATGCCGATGGTTCAACTTGTCTGATACTGAGTTAAACCTACCAACCATCTTGCGTGGAGACGATGATCAAAAGTTATTGCTGCTTTTGGTAAACACAGATCTAAACTTCATGAACAAAAAAAAAGCAACAAAAAAAAGCCTCTATGTGTTCAGGAAAAGATGCACAATTTTCTGTTTCTTAATATGGGTGCTGTGAACACTAATTGAAGCATCAAAGTATAATTTTGAAATATGACCTTTTTTTTAAAGAGTGCTTAGTATTACTTGAGTGCTAGAGTTTTTTTTAGACAATTAAAGACTTGTACTTTTTAAAATATCACAGTATATTAATTTTATTTTCGTTTAGCAGGTAAATTCCAAAGATGTACTGACAGCTGAATTGTCGTCGGTTAGTCACTCTTGCAGTGGCAGTCGTTAGGCAATACTTAATAGTTTAAACTCTAAGATCTATATTATACTGAAGGGGTGCAGGGAGCTCTGGACTAGATAATTCTTCACTTCTATTGCTCCCACCACTTTGTGAAACCTGTAGCATATAATATACTAATATAACACTTAATAATACACATTGCTACTCACTTTTTTAATGGTTCTAATACTGTGCGATGCACTACAACATTCTGAGGAGACAAAACAGAAATAAAAATGTTTGAGTCAGTCCATGAATGGGCACTAACACCAATCAAATGTTATTGCGGCTTTTGGTAAACACAGATCAAAACATCATACAAAAAAACACGGGGGGGGGGGGGGGGGGAACTTTCTTTCTTGCGACAGTTTTGGTCCCTCAAATTTCTAACCGGAGACACAAAACAAACGGTTTGGTGGAGCTGAAGTCAGCCATCGTCATCCACAGCTTTCCCTATTTCATGTTTTTTTGCTTTAGTGTGAGTATTACAGTACTTGCCACACAATTACGTCCTATTAGTGCTGAAGCTTAGACTAAGTTAGAGGTGTCACAGAGAGTAAAGTTGTTCCCGCATCCGATCCGGACACTGGGGATTGCCTTGTTAGTGAGACAACTTCCTGGGCCTTCGGCATATTGTGGTAGGGTCACAGAGAGAAATAAACACAAAAAAGGAGGAAAGAAAAGGAAGATAGATGTTTGATAGGAAAGAAGTAGCAAACCAGCCAGTAACCCACTATGACAAAGATGTGCACTTAAAAAATGTATCAACATATTGAAATGGGCTTTTAAATAGATATATAAAAGATGTTGAGCAAAAAAACAAAAATTCAATAAAAATTGCCAGACCGGGAGAAAAATGGCGTTTTCTTCGATTTCATTACTTTGGCAATACCTGATTTCACCACAATACCTCACATCTAATAATATGGTTTAACAACCCCTTTGGACAAAATAATCCACAGAATAGGCAGGGCAACAATAAGATTAAAAAATGAGAAAGAAAACGATCAGCTCACAAGCAGGATGTCAAAATCTACGATACAGTATAACACGGATAGAGCGAACACAGAAGACTCGAAATCACTCATCCGTCGAAGTGAGCCAACGTTTCCGTTACTTTTTTATCTTTGTAAGAGAAAATTACGCGAAGCTCAAACCCAAACACGGAATAGATGAACAAATTACATCGCTGTAGAGGCCTTAAGTCAATGTCCTTTGATGTGCACTTAAGACAAAATAATAATAATTTTTTTGTTTTTTTTAAACGGAAAAAGGCAAGGGGTAAAATACCACCTTCCCCATCCACAGAAGCAGCTAGCTGTTCTATTTTTAGCACTCTGCTCGACACGCACGCGCGTGCACACACATGCAAACATACACACATCATGGAGCACCCCATTTTTCATTCACCATGGCTTCAACTTCAAATAGATATAAAGCATAACAAGAGCAAACACTTCTCTAATCTACCCCGCTACTGCTCCTCATCACCATCGCGCTCATCGCTGGCCCTGGCGGAGGAAGGGAAAATGGACGGACTACCCGAACCAATTCATTTCTACCGCACTTATTCATCAAAGGGCCATAAAGAAACAATTTTTGCTTCTTGCCTTGATTCTCTGACACAGCTGATGCCATAACACTGTTCATGTATCCCTTTAACTACGGATCCCTCAAAACAACCGAGGCCATTCGCGACGAATTCCAGCTATCTGGATTATACTGCATGCGCAAAAAACTTGACCAACTGATAGGGTTCCGATATCAGATTGGGGCACAAAATTGGGACTGCCAATGTACACATATCACTTTATATTTAAGGGATTTCCAGAAGAAAAAAAAATGTCTGAGAATATCACCCGCTGCAACTCATACTATGGGTTATACAATTCTACTAGATCATTATGGCGCCGGTGGCCTAGTGGTTAGTCTCTCTGACTTGCAACCATAAGGTCGAGGGTTTGAGTCCCGTCAGGGGCCCGACATTGTGTCAGTGGGAAAGGCACTTTACACAGATTTTCCTTGTTTCACCCAGGTAAGATTAAGTACCAAGCTATGGACAGTGAAAGACTGTGTCAGTGTGTTAGTGTCTGAGCGCATGTAATCTGCAGCTTGCACTGTATGCATTCCAGGAAGCCAAGAAAGTTTCTGAGTGATCTAGGGTCTGATGGGGGGGTAATAATAGTTGTAAAATACACTGAGCATGTTGCAGAGCGTGGTTATGTGTTAAATAAATGCAATTATTGTTTTTCTTCTACTTATTATTCTTATTCTTATTAGTTTTATTATCAATATCATTATTATCATTATTATAATATCACTCCCACAAACTAGTAAAGCAAAAGAAATGTATTTTTTATCTATGCAACTTTCATGACAAAAAATCTTTATTACATTCATTACAAATAAAATTCCCGTTCTGCGAATTAAACAATATTCAATTAGCATTAAAGAGATTGAGGACAATATAAAAATATTTTCATCTTTATTGTATTAAATTTATAGAAAAATTTCCCTATCTCTCCGGGCGTCTTTCTGATACATTTTTCTCAATCATTCTTTGTGTCCCTTTCTTCTTTCTTTTGTCTGTTTCAAGACCAAGTTAAAATTCTTTTTAATCCAACCCTATGGGGAATCAAACTCGGACCTCTAGCATGACAAGCGGGGATATCCACCACTATACCACCAAGGACGCACTACATCAGCTGAAAGATGTCTATAAATAGGTGGAAATCAGAAACTTAAAAACATGGATGCTGGTGTAAACAGCCCAAACTTGTTTGTTAGATAAAAAATAGTACACACTCTTGTATTTGATTTTCGACTACAAAAGGGCATGGATGAGGGGGTCTCAAACTTGAGGCCTACAGAATGATATTTTGCAACCCCTACTTGGCATCAAATTTTAGTGTAAATGCAGCTTGAATATTTTTTTCTCCCTTGCAGCTTTTCGTCGAAAAAGTGTCCTTGACTTTTAAATAATTTTCAATAATTCATGGGCTGCCATTGCTCAAGTTCAATAAAGCTTCCAGCGCTATTTGTTGACAAGTTAGCAAACGTGATTTAGCTACGTTTCCCATTTGGTTAAACATTACTTGGAACTTTTTTTAGAGGGATACTTGATTCGGCCCACATGTGTCCAGACTCTACCCCTAACGGCCCCCTGGGTATTTGAGTTTGAGATTCCTAGCGTAGACTGAGACGGTATCCACTTTAAAGTAAAATTTCAGAATGACTGGAGGTCAAATAGCCTGCAGGCTTGATGAAAAACCAGGCACTTAAAAAAATATTACATTGAGGCTGCAATAACCCCCCCCCCACACACACACTTAGTTCCTGAAATGTACTGATCTTGAAGTACTCCCCTGAAAATCAGACACCTGAGCTATGCAAAACAACATGATGTTCTGCAGAAATAAAATCGGCCACAGACAAAATATCACCAACTCAGAAAAGTGTGGTCAGATAGGCAATACTATAAACATTCTGCTAAAGCATACTGGTGTCTGTCTCAGTTTAAGAAGTTTCAATCTCACCCAGCAAAAATGTTCTGTCCCATAAAACATGATACATTTGTACATCGCAAAACTAAACAAGAAAATAGAAATTGATTTGTACTTTTTGTAGACCTCTAAAAGTAATTAAATTCGCTTAGCTTATCAACATCATTCACAGCACTGTTTTAAGGCCACAAAAACAAACAAACCCTGTTTTGTCCTCAGAATGAGTTGAGGTTGGAGAGTTGTGAGGCAGGATACAAAAAAATATAAATCAGTTTTATCTCTCCAATGAAATTGTATCTTATCTTGGTGGGAAACACTGTAATTTTCACCTTCAACAAAAGAGCACATGGATTTAAAACAATAACTCGAGAATATACCAGATCTGTCATATGCATGTCCATCTTGACCAGGGCAGAGTCCCAGCCTTCTATCTGTGAGCGAAACTCATCCTCTGACTGACAGAGTGGTGTGGGCAGCAGGTCTTGAGTCAGCTTCCTCTCAGTCTTGGCAAGGGCTGAAATTATATTAACAATAATTTTTATTTATTTGCCAAGGTACATGGTGCACTTTTTTATAGACGAGCAGCAGATTTCATAAATGCATGATAAAAAGGATTATGGATTAACACAAAAACTCGTCGTTATCTTCACTTTTTGGGTTGGTGTTGTACCATGTGCCCCAAAATCTGATCATTTCAAAGGCAGAACACTAAGCCCTGAGGTAGGAATAATGAAGAAGGAAGAAGGGAGGAAAGAAGACAGAGACTACATATCAAACTAAATAGGATAATGCATGCACAAGTGAGCATTGATGTTCTTGTTATTTCTGCCTACTATACCCGGAGCACTGGGTTTACTTACTACCCCAAACCAATTTGGGAACCAAACATGATCAGGCAGTCAGATGGCTTGCAAATAACAACAAATGAGGGCAACTTGTGAATCCTTTAGAAAAGAAATGGTGGAAGCAGTGAATTATCAACTTAAAACTATATGGTAGATCTATACCTCTGTTCATATCGGTGCAAATAAACATTTAACAATATGATGAATTAAATGGTGTTTTACATATTCATATTATTATCTCACCCTATCATTTCTTTGAAATCTTTCTGCCTTTTCTTCTATATTTCTACATCACTTGTATCTCATCCTATATGCTCAGGCAAAGTAGCAGTGACAAATCAAATAGAATTACCAAGTCTGTTAGTGTTATAATGCTCAATTCCAAGAATAAATAACTACATCTTTTTAGTTTTGTCCCAGATGAAACTCAAAAAACATGTTACCATTGTTAGCCTCAGTCATCCTCTTCCCATCTTTGTATAAACGACGAGTCAACTCTTCCAGCCTGAAATTTGAAAAAAAGATTACGTTTACAAACTTCCCTTTGGACATCTACGTTCATGTGGACAAAAATATCCCTGTTTATAACAAGAACAATTATATTGTAAATTGCTGAAAATAGACTGGAGTTACTTCTAGCTTATCACAATAAATAAAGTAGCACAGTTTGTCACAAGGTTCAAATATATCTTGTTTTAATGGTAAATTCCTGGCGTACTGGCACTGAAACACCTTGTGGAGGTTTTCATTTCATACAGCTCACTATCTACAGCTTAAACAATTCTAAAACTTTTTTCTACTCATAACCTACTTTGCGTACAGGCATGAAATGGGAAAAAATTGGCAGCTTGGTACGATGAAAAGACAAGAACAGTCATACTGTATTACCAGGTAAAGAGTGTTCTCCAGATAATAGGCCTGATTAGGGTGTTCAAAGTTCTCCACTCAAATCTACATCGACTAGTATTTCCTTTGTACAGATATCAAAACTTTCTAAATATGGGCCTGCACTCTTTAGCTTTCCCTGAACTTTTTCCCTCCAATTTTCCTTCTAAATGCCAGATGTTCTGAGCTATTCTCATGATATAAATTTTTAATGTTAAAGGAACCACAATTGTCTTTTCTAATAGCTTTCTTGAAGGATCTTCAAGATGAGATTACAACGTAGCAAGACCAAATAATGCCCTGTACCATATGTGAAGCGTGCTGACAAAATGAGTTACTTCTAGGATTCAAGCATTAATGAAACAGATACATCACGTTTATAGGTGAAGTTTTTACAATTTATAAGTATAAAATAATAATAGACAGGTTTTAATTAAAGAATATAGCAGGAATAGAAAACCTACAACTTTCAACCTAACGCCGATTTTTGGCCAATACAGTCGAACCTGTGTAAGACGGAATCGCAAGGGAGCGGGAAAAAAATTCCGTCTTAGACAGGGGAATTTATGGGGGAGGGGGGGGGTCTATGGCCCAGCCGATGGGATCAAGGATCACTTGTCCAATCGGCAAGCAGTGGTCAAAACTTCACACCTCTCAGCTGCTATCCTGTCTGATAATGACATGTGTCAGTCTTACTTATCCAATTACCACCAGTGCTTGCCTTTCATGGGACCACTGTTTGACCTATTAAAAAACAGAAATGTTTGAACATCTCCTTTGCTTCCACCCTTAGCCCCACCCACCAATGCCACCCCTCACTGCCATCATAGTAACAACAATTCGAGGAACTCGTTTCTCAGCAGGCCACACGATCAGGGCGGCAGGCATTGGTCAATCTAATTTCACACCTCTTGCTTCTGGCTACCCAGGAAAGTTTCCGTAGTGGCTCGCTACTCGAGCACTCTCACACGCAGTCGTGAGATATCACACCCACACTACACTGACCATCTGCAGCACTCAGTGCTCACATGATGGGGTAACATAGGGTAACTTCTACTCTACCCCCATTGCACTCCTACTCCCCTTCCTCGCCCAGCGGCATGGCCATGGCGTTAAGTTTAGAGCCGGCGGAATAAAACTTGCGAGTTTTGTTTCAAATCGGGGCTGAGCGGGCAAAGCATTTTCCGTCTTAGCGGATTTTTCTTTCCGTTTCTGCATTGGACAGGTTTCCGTTATACACAGGTAATTAAAGAGGAATATATCAAGGGGGGAGCGGGGAGATTCCGTAAAGACGTTTCCGTTTTATACAGGTTTCCGTTTTATACAGGTTTCCATTTTATACAGGTTTCCGTTAAGGCAGGTTCGACTGTATCTCCATTTGTCGATTGTGAGAAGTAACTCATTTTGTCAGCACACCTCACATATATATTGCCCAGCTTTGACAGTGCTTATAAAACATATAATGATATCAGATATACGTCTCCTTTGACAATACAGTAGAAAGCAAAAGATATTCTCCAGCACATACTCCACCACCATATAGCCACTGGAGCTAGCAAGCTCCTCTCTCCAACACTTCTTTTGTCTCATGAAACACACACACAAAAGAAAAAGCATATACAAGACAAGGAAACATAAAAAGAACTACAAAGATGAGATTTTCAATATATATGTAATAAAAGTATTGTTGAATGAATTGGGAACATGGAAACTAAAAAGCAGATGGTAAACAAACTTCAGTCTTTTATCAATAAATGCCTGAAAGAACATCATGAAAAGTTACAGGATGGACTTTATCGGAAATTGTCTTTATGGAGGAGAACTAAACAACAAGCAGCAGGCAGTGAGATCAAGAAAAGAAGATGGCAGTAGACTGTGCACACTCTTAGGAAGCCAGTCCACAACGTGACCCAGTAAAGCCAAGGGTGAAAACCCAAAGGGAAAAGGAAGAGATGAAGGCTGATCCATCTGGGAATGAGATCCAGAGTAGGATCTTAAGACAGATGGGACACAGCTGGCTTGAGGTAGAGAGGACGGCCCAGAACAGAGACAGATGGAGAGCCCATCTTGACGGCCTATACCCAATACTAGGGTAAACGAGGAATAGAGAGATATATGAGGTCTGTCTCAGAATAAAGTTTCCCTCCTCCATTAAATCAAAAGTACGAAACCTACAGCCACTAAATTTTGTGACGTCATGACATCATGTCTAAGAAATCTCAATGCCAAATTGCAAGTGCATTGGTGAACAGGTCATAGAGCTGTGACGTGTCAAGTTTGGTCTTCTTACACACTTTGTCCAAGGCAAATTCGACGAAAATGGCTGAGCAAAACATTAGTGCAACCTTCTCATGCTACGACGTCCAAGTTGTAATCAAATTTTCAACTCTTCTTGGCAAGTCTGCAACTGAAACCCATGGTAATTTATACAAAGTAATAGGGAATAATGCCCCATCAATTCAAACAATAAGGAGATGGATCAGTGAGGTTGAAGGTGGGAGGTCTGACATAAAAGATGAAGCACACACAGAAAACACGGGCAGAGAAAGGTGATGCACATTGGGTTTTTTTTCCACATGAGCGGCATCATACTATCATACTGAGCTGGCTAGTCACAACTGGTGTAACTGTCAATGGTGTCTACTACACAGGTTCGCCATCAAATACAAGTTGAGACCTGCGATCCGGAAAAAAGACCCGCTTTGCTTGAAGAAGGCATCATCTTGCATCATGACAACGAGCCTGTTCACAAGTCCCGAGTTGTGGACGAGCTTTTTGAGGACTACTTGTGGGAATTATTGGAGCACCCGCCCTATTCGCCCTATCTCGCGCCACGCAACTTTCACCTCTTTCCTAAGGTGAAAGAAATGCTGCGAGGTCAGCGATTTGAGGATAAGGACCGCATTCAAGAGGATAATATGAGAAAAGCACTCGGGACCTTGGACAAACGATCACTAACCACTGTCTTTGATCGCTGTATACATCAAAAGGAGAAATGTCTTGAACTTTATAGTTCCTACGTTTAATAGGTATTTGAATAAGCTTTCTGTTAATACCAAATACAAGGCGATTTACAATTATATGTGAGGACAGCATGACAGGGAAACTTTATTCCGAGACAGACCTCGTATATGCAGGAGGCATATTACCTAAACCTTGCTAAAGTGGATTTAGTATAGTATAGTATAAGGTTTTACGGCGCTCGCAACTGATAAGGTCATATGAGCGCGCTTAAGTGGATTTTCCATCAGAAATCATTTCACCCACAATATAAGAATCTTAACATGGACAGGCGTCATTCTGATAAAGACAAAAAAGGATCTTATAGTATAACTTGACAGACCGCTATTCACAATTTCTAAAATTCCAAAATACAAGCACGAATAATTCATAATCACGAGTCATAGTGCAAAAAAGTGTTGCTGTATTCCGAAAGATGCAAAAATCATGACAAAACATTTTTTAAAGAGAAGCTCACATTATGAAGAGTTCTATGGCATATTGGAATATTTATATTAGACAATATGACGGCAAAATTGAGAACTTACAATAACAATGACAATAGAAAAGAAACAAACCATATACTAGAGAATCTTCAACATCCTTATAATGTGGTGGAGTGTACGTCAATAACAGACAAATTCATGTATCCAAAAGAAGCAACACACATGGCAAACATAAACAAAAAGAGCCAGAGAATAAATGTGTGTGTGCCTAAAGAAAGGTACCAAAAGTCGCAGCAGACCATTTTCAGCTACAGGCTGATAATGACGTTTCCCTAAAAAAATTATAGTTCCATCATTTTTTAAGAATGTTTTAAAAGAGTTTTCATTCATATGACTTTAAATATTTCATTTTGAATAATTTTGAGGGTAGCGTGTGTTTTAAAAAGATCATGAAAAAAAAGGTGTTAAAATCTATTCTATGGGTGGTTGTCGGGTGCTCTAATGATGTTTGCTTCTTCTTTCCTATCAAACATCTATCGTCCTTATCTCCCCTTCATCTTTTTTATGTTTTTTACACTCTTGTAACAGCTCTAATCTTCTGGTGCTCATATGATCTTATGCAGTTGCGAGCGCCATAAAACCTCTACTAAAACTAAAAATCTATTCTTGGAGCATGTTTTCTTTTCCCCGCTATGTTTTACCATTGACTTCTAATCATAATATTGATCTCCACTGAAAGCCAAATTTAAAATGAATTTTTCATAAATACATTAGAAACATTTGAATCTTCATTTTTTAAAAAGTTTTTAGGTGTTTTAAACTTAAAAGCTAATTTTCTCAAAATTAGATTTTTATACCCTACCTCGCAAAATGTGCAATATCTCAAAAACTACTTGAGATATCTCAAAAATTCAAAAACCACTGTGTTCAACATTAAGTCGAAATGGTTAAAGTCCGACTTTTGGTACCTTTCTTTAGGCACACACACAAAGGTAGAGTCTTTCAGGTAATGATAAATAGAAATATTATCCTTACTCATCCAGTCGTTTCACTTCCCGCTCAAAGTCTCTTTGTGCCTGCAATACAGGTACAAAAAAGAAACAAAACAATGAAAACCATTTTGTTCATTGAAACTACGAACATTCGTCAAAATACTGTATGTTTATTGTGACTAACAAAAAGTAAGCAGTGCATTTACTGTACTAACACAGAAACAAACATATTTTATCCTTGAGTAATATTCAAAAACACAAAGTAAGAAATATTTCATCATGACTAAGAAAAACAATGATAAAACTATGAGATGCCTGGTCTAACACAAAGCATCAGAAATGGATTGTTTATCTCATTCTATGATTATCTTGAGTTAATAGTAGTTGGAATATGTAAAGAATGCATTTCCTTAAAAGACCAAGCTTCAGATGTAGACCATCTCTTTAATGCTTTCTCTTGCCTTGAAAGTTACATGAACCTACTTACTGAGACAGCCATGCTCGTCATGGGACGACAAAAATATAGGCACTAATACAAGGATGTGTTTCCCTGATTATCTATTCAAAATTGTCCAATACAGCCACCCACTTTTAAGGGAAAAGTGTATAGCTTAGATAGGTGGACTTCTATCATTATGGTTTAGAAAAAACACAAGGGGGTAAGAGGAAAGTGGTTGTTGGTACAGATGATTGTCTTGGACATGGACAGGAGGCCTTAAGAGCAGGTGCGACTCTATCATACAAAAATATAGTACTGGCAAATGTCATTTTCACTAAAATACACTTGATATGTAAAGTTGTATCACAACATAATAGAGTCTTCATTCTTAAAATCAATATGGGGAGATTTTAACACCCTGCCAAAACACCTGGTTGTGCAAGTGTCCAACCATTCTATCCCTCTCGATCTGATGGAAGAACCTACAGAGCAAAAATATATGGCTAGCCGCGTGATTCAACCGCATAAGTGCCAAGGTATAAATTTTTCAGAAGAAGCCAAAAACTGTTTCATTTCTTTATACTCGTACCTATAAATCTGAAATCCATAATATAATATAATGTATCACGATGGTCTGTAACTAACTACAAAAGTTACAGGACATCTGCGTGATACAACCGCCTAAGTGACAGTATGACGGTGTCTAGGCGTTTGAATCACCTTAATCAACACAACGCCACTCGGCGAGCGCCAATAGTCGCTTGGGCGTTTGAGTAATCAACAAAAGCAAATCATAATAGTTTTAAGAGTAATTATAAAGTTAAAAGTAATTATGAAGTTATTTGGTTGTGTCTTCTGGGGCAGGACTGTTTTTGACCTCATGGAGTTGGTACAAAAGACCATTCATTTTAACGTTCAATTTGTACTGGATGTTTTTGTTCAGTGTGTATCAAAGGTAACGAACGTTTGTGACAACAGGGTCGTTTTTGTTTCAGCCAGATCTGAATGGTAAAGAAATCGAACAATCAAAGTATCAAAGTGTGTGTGTATGTGCGTGGGGGG